GTGGGTAAAAATAAATACAGTACTTGGTTTTTAAAATTAATGGCGTGACTTGTGACGAGGTGAATGTGCGATAGTATGTAACGGAACGTATATTAACTTTTTTTGCAGAATTACCGAAAATTATGCCCCTTTAGTGTGTTAAGCTAATTTGAAAATTTTTAGTAGAAAATACTTAGCTTCTGTGGTTGATTATAGTACGTTGGTTTGTAGGAAAGGCTTATAATACGTAGATGTACCTAAAAAGACGTAGAGTTGGTATTGCTGGTACTGTTGATAATGCGCCATTAGTTACCATCTGATCGGATAAATCCGGTCTCAACCGGATTTGAAGTATTAATTAAGTCTTTATCTATGATATTTCCGTTTTTAATAAAATAAATGAAGCTTTATTTTCTTATTTCTGTTAATCAAAGTATTCACCCATGCAATCAATACATCTTTGCCAACGCATTGGTAGTTTAATGATGCCTTCTTGAAGAAATCAGCTGGACAGGAGGCAACAAATACTTCAAAGGCATTTTGTACTGCCTCTCGGGAATTTATTTTTTTCCCGCTAAGACGTTATCCAAATTCTGGAAGAATAAGAAGTCTGTAGGCGCATGGTCTGTTAAGTACGGCGGATGACGGAGAACTTCAAACCCCAGCTCTTGTAGCTTGGGTACCGCCAATTGTGTAGTATGAGGTCGTACGTGGTCGTGCAGGACCAGTGGAACCGAACGATTGACAAAACCTGGTTGGAGTTGTGCCAGCTTCTCCGTCATTGTGTTCAGTTCTTCACAATACACACAGTAAATCTGCAGTAATGGTCGTCCTGTTTGTTAAGAAGCTGTGATGATATACATCCGCGTTAGACCACCAAACAGCAACCTTTTCGTAAACCAATAACGGGTGGTGCGTTCGTTTGTAGTGTTCGCTCTGCAAACGTTGTAATGTTGCGTGCCGCTTTGCTGCCACGATGGCACACATACTCCATAATTACTCGAATTTTTAACTTATCCATGACGACGAAAAATATTCAAATTCATTGAAAACAAAACACTTACTATTGAACAAATGACGATTTAAGAAAAAATAATTTGATATTAGAATTATCAGCCAAAAAAATAGTTTGATTTTAAATGACTAGTACAGTAGAACGGCAATTACATAGGTAAAGACCTAATATTAAGACAGGACTCCGCCCATTTTTTTGTTGTTTCTCAATAAAGATCCCTTGAATTAAATGGTTACTTATTAAAGCAAAATCTACCATACGATTACATCACAGATTGTGTTGTATTTTTGAAATATAAAGGAGTATTAATTGACGATGTCAAAGAAATTATTTGAAGAATTTTTTCTATTAAAAAATTTATTTTTATGACGATTAGTTGAAAAGCAGTGGGTAATTATTTTCAATATATGCAATGACAGCACTCGTTTCCGAACTACTGAAGATTTGTCAGTATTTTTTTGTATTATGCCTCATAATGCGAATATTGATTTTTTTTTTCGCTCATGAATATGCAGTGGTCAAAAGATAGAAAAAGATTAACTGTTGAGTCAATAAAGGCAATATTGCTTTGCTCACGGGATATAATTTCAAGCATTTGCCATGTATCGAATTTCACAGTGAAATTTCTTTAAAAATAAACTTTTTGAATGCTGTTGTTAGTGGAAAAAGTATAATGTGCAAAAAAATTATAAAATTTAATAATGAGTTTAATTGATATACTGAGTTTTATTTATAGCATATAACCGGGTTTTTACATAAATCAAGATTTTTTATTGCTTGTAACTGGTTATTCGATTTCAAGCCCTATGCGCCATCTATCAATTTTTACTAGGGAGGGTGTATTACACCGGTATAAGCGTACGTTCAGTTCTACGCATTTACTTTTTAAATGACACCAAACAATGTTTGGATTCGAGTTATTTTTAACTAAATATTCATTGCGTTGATAATTGAACACTTTCTTTTTGTAAATATGTATGTTTTAGGCAAAGAATGTTTTGTGATATTTATAAAATGTAAGAAATAATCTTTTTATAAAGTATTTTATCAGAAAAAGTATTTAAAAGATACTAAGATACTAAACAAAAGTATTTAAATACAAGATACAAAATACTTCCTAAAAAAAGTATTTTAGATACAAGATGAAAATACGTATTTTGTATCTTGTGTCTGTATTTCAAATACTTGTATCTAAGATAAGTCACATCTCCGTAAGCATGTGTAGTATTCCATAAACGGTGTAAAGAAAAACTTATATTTCGTAAAATACTTTAATTACATTATCATCATATGAATTTTTTTTATGTTAGAAATAAGAAGCAGAGATAGTTAAATAAAGAAATTGTAGATTTACACATATTAACCTTTAATTTGACAATACGATTCTACAAGCAAAAGACAGTACTTCTAAATACACTTATTTATAAGAATAGACTTTATACAATCACTTAATAAATAAGTTACACTGCTCATACAGTTTGTCTTCAGCTGGAGGCTGGCATTTATGGTCAAACAAGCAGCTACATTTATATAAATTGGTCACATGATGTCCTTATCGTTAAATCTTCCACGGCCTCTCCTGACATGTGTTTACAGTCGAACACAACTTTTCTCATAATTTGTGCTCGCCCTCGAGAACAACTCTTCGGCTTGGAGTGGCTGTAGACTCACATTTACGCCTGGGCCTATTAACATTTACATTTGTTCATTACTACTAAAAAATAAATTAACATTAAATGTTGAACTACAGGTACAGTATTCCCACATGTGCGAAGGGCACATGTAAATATAATATTTTTAATAATAATATAATAATAATATGTATTTATTTACACACAGCCAAAATACAAGAAAGTAAATTAAAAATTAATACTTAAAATTAAACATTATAATTCAATGGCTAACGAATTTTATAAATAGATTAGCGTCTGTAGCCGAGCTAGTTTATTACTGTATTTCGGCTAACAGCGCCCTCCCAGCATTGTCTGTATCATCACTGTTAAAAGATTATGGTAGTTAAATTAATTGGAAATTTGATAAAACAATTAGATAATACATAAAAAAATATATATAAAAGTATAAATAAAATTAAATCAAATCAAATTAAATTAAATTACCTTAAAATAAATGACTTTGGTGGCCCCCTTTGAGTAAAATGTTAATGAATGTGTGAGTGTAGGAGGGTGAGTTACAGTAGCTATCAGATTTGATTCATGAGTGTACAATTATAATTGAAAAAATATGAAAAATAAATATTAATTTCAATATATCAAGTTGATGTAAAATGAATATAGTCAACATAGATAAAAAAAAATATCCAAAATATAAATAGTTATTATTTATATGAATACCTCTTTAGACTTTTATGAATGTCTAATAAACTTCTAAATTCAGTGTCACATTAGTACCTTTACCATAGCTTCAGTCTCCTCATAGTTGAGTTTTTGCAAATATTCACTTATAGTTTTTTTACACTGTACTTTATTTAGTGGATATATGTTCAATACACCATTCAGTCTATTATATATGTAGAGACCCAAAAAATACATATACTTAGTTACAAAAGATGTTTTGGCAATTACTGGATATTTCATGACATTTCGTCGTCTGTGCCTTTTTGACAAATAAGCCGGATCAAATGCTATTTTTTTGTGTTGCAGTAATGCGCATTTCAATATATATAACTGCCGAACAGTCAAAACCTCACAAAATCTATATAGTGATTCTGTCGGGAACAAAATCGACTTATATGTAGCAACTTTAAGAATTGCACGTTGGGCTATCTCTAGGCTTTTGATGGTTGTCTTAGGAGCCCCACTCCATGTTGATATGCAATATGTGATAAGAGATTGACATAGTGCATAATAAATTTGCTTCATTAGTTTAGGTTCCGCAACATGCCTAAGATTTTTAAAAATATATATTAATTTTCTTACCCTTCCACAAACAATCCTTATGTGTTCCTTAAAATTCAATCTATCGTCTATAGTCACTCCAAGGTATTTCATTAAATAAACTCTCTCTATTTACTGACAGTAACATCCACATTTCAGATGACAGAAATGAGATATCATGGTGTACTCCATTTCCATTTTTATTTCACCGCGCATATTAAATAACATATATTTAGTTTTGTCAACATTCAGTGTAAGTAGATTGTCACGCAACCATTTATTTACCGCATTAAAGCCTTCCTGTGCCAAAGCAAAGACCTGTTTCCACGATTTACCATTGAAGACTAGAGCGGCATCGTCTGCATAAGAGATTATTTGACCTCCAGGCAATTCAAGATTTGTAAGATCATTCATGTAGACGAGAAATAGAGTCGGTCCAAGGATACTACCTTGCGGAACGCCATAACATACAGGAAGGGAGTTACTAGAATATTCACCAATGCGTACACATTGATATCTGTTTGTAAGATAGCTCTCAAATAGTTTCAGTTGTGTACCACGAATACCAATTGCTTCAAGTTTCATTAACAACTTCGATATAGAAATTGTATCGAACGCTTTAGCTAGGTCGATGAATATAGCAAGAGCTTTATCCTTTTTGTCTAAGGCATGACATAAAATGTCCATGAAGGTATTTACCGCTACATCTATCTTCAAAAAGCCAATATTGTATACATTCGCAATACATTTTTTTTAATATTTAATGGCAACGTTTTTCGTGTTACTTACTATATAAAAATTACAACATTACTATAAAGCATGAAATAAAAACTTTTTATAAAAAGTAGCATCGACTTCTACTTAAAAAAAAATGATAAAAAATACTTATCCCAAAATAGACTTATTCAAGGAAATGCTATTGAAGTCGGGCGGCTATAACATGCAAAAAACGTCCGCCCGACTTTTTTTCGTATTAGTAGCTTTTGAGGTAAATATTATTTATCACCTTTTTTAAGTTGAAAGTTTTAGTTTTGATTTTTTCATTCGTGAATCAGAATTGCACTTGACCTTTTTTTTCAATAGTAGATAAACAAAAACATTTTTACTTTCAGGGACACAGTCGTCTCACATCATACTGCGTTTTGTGTAATAGAAATTTGGTAACTAAAGAAGGTCATATAACTTCAGACTCACATGTTAACACTCTGAGGAAAGTAATGGCTGATGGAGGTATAACAAAAATAAAACACTCTGTGAACAGTACTACCAATACAAAAACATCAAACCAATTGCAAACCTATTGCAAGCCTTGTAATAAATACATAGACTCGCATAATTTCGATGGCCACACCAAAGGTGCAGCTCATATGAAAAAAACAAAATTAATTGAATCTAAAAACAATACACAATTAGACAATGTAGAACCTCATCACAATTTACCAAATAAAACTTATTGTGCCTCGTGTAATATATATATTGATATAAACAATGCCGATAGTCATTATAACGGAAAGAGACATAAAACTAATGCAGGTGAAACGGAAAACGGTAATCCAGGAAACGCTAGAATGGCTAATCCTGAAAATGTCAAAATAACTAAAGCTGAAAATGCCAGAATGGCAAATCCTGAAAATGCCAAAATAGCTAATCCTGAAAACACCAAAATGGCAAATCCCGATAATGCCAGAATGACTTTCAGTAGCAATAAATTGAGTGAGGAGGAGGCTTATTGTATCGTATGTAAACTTATTATAAATAAAAACGACTTTCCAATACATATACTTGGCGAAATACATAATATAAATGTACAAAACTCATTCGATCCTATATCGATGGAGCATATGAAAGAAGCACCAAAGAATTGTTTCATATGTAGAGTCTGTGACGTGAATGTAGTAAAATATGATCAAAATGTTCAAGAACACATGCAAGGTGCAAATCATACGAAAAAATACGCATCGTTACTTAATGCAAACAGCATTACTAAATACGACGACAATTATTATAATTGTGAAGTTTGTGATACATTTATTTTAGCCAAATCAGTTTTAGATCACATTGATTCGTTGAAACACAAATCTCAGAAATCTAAACCGAAACTTTTTTGTAAATTATGCAACGTATCAATTGATGACCATCCAAATATTGTAAATGATCACAAAAACAGTGACTATCACAAAACGAAATTAGCCGAACTGTATACCCATCGTCATCTTCAAATAAACAATGACGCCGTAACGGATGTTACGTATAAATGTAACGTGTGTGATATTTTTATAGACGTGTCGCAAGCAAAATCTCACATCGAGAGCGTGTCACACTATACGAAATTTAACTCTATGCTGCTGGACAATAAGATTCAGAAAACTGGTGATAATTTCTTCTGTAATATATGCTCTGTTATTATTGAAAATAATAATGAAGTCGAACATGTCTCTACAGAAAATCACAACAGACTACTGACCAAAATGCATTTCTGTAACTTATGTTCTGTAAGAATACCTAATACCGTTAAATGTATAGCTATTCATGAGCGAGGTCGCCCTCACATGAAGCACCTGGAAAGATTGCAGTCTGTTCTTGCTAAATTTAAAGAACGCGTCGACGCCCTAAATTTGTGATGCAAATTGAAAAGAACGAATTTGGCTTAACAAGCCAGTGGCTACTAATCTGAACAGCAAAAAGAACAGGGTGTCCGCTGGCAGATTAATGTTAAAAAAAAACAATATAAATAAATAAAAGTATATCAAATCTAAGGTTTTCATTTATGGTTTTACAGAATAATCGTACGGATAAACGTTTTAAAAATCACTACTTAAATGACATTCTTCTTATCGAACCGTGTTATCGAAAACGTGCTTGCAAAGTTCTGGACTTATTGCTGCTATATCGACGCGTATAATTTCTCGCAGGGCGTCTATTGTTGTGATGAATTTTTGTATACGCGAGACTTGAGATTTTATCGTACCCCTTTAGGAACCGTTATTGTGAAGGTGTCCTACTGTATGATGGAGACAACTGACAAGGGAGACTAAAGGCGATTGTCTCCCTGCGAGCTAGGTGTTGTTAGCTCGGGGACCGTGGTCCAACCGATGTAGGTTGGACGTTCTATTTATGCTAATTAGTAATTAAACTTATTGTGAGCGATGTAGGTTTCTTTGTTCTTAATGCCTTGAAGTATCTTAATTTATAATGTTTGAATAGGTAGAGCGCCATCTCGTTACTGGGTGTTGAAGCTTCTTGCAGTTCGTCTTCTATCGATTGCTGTGACGATGCTAGAATTCTCGCTATCGATTGTTTTGGCGATGTTAGTGCGATGAGTTAGATGTCGCTACGTATCAGTCGCCACATCCCCAAAGCGAGAAATCACAAGAGGACAGTTATGGTAATCTAGGTTTTCTAGAAAAAAGTCTCTTACGTTACTCATGGAGTGCATCCCAAGTAGCACAAAACACCATTATATCAAACTTATAATAGCACGAGTCCAAGCGTTAAGCATTATAATAAAATCGTATATCAACCGTATTTCTTTTAAACGACTCTTATACATAAAATTTGGGCCCCCCCTTTGTACGACTTTAAGCTTTATAAAAGCTGTGCAATAGCACTACAACTTTTGTATAATAGCATTAATAAAGTCGGGTAAAAGCATTCTGATAGCCACAAAAAGTTCAATTAGCACCTTAAAGTGCTAATTGAACTTTTTGTGACTATATTACAATTGATATGCGTAAATCAAAATTATAATACGTTAATTTAATATTATAAAAATGCTTACTGTTTTATTTCCTTTGTAAAAAAGTATATTTAATAGATTTTAGAAACATATAATCGGTTTAAATTATTGTTTTGTGTAAGTGTCATGACATGTTCTCTTGGCTGGTCTTTTAAGTATTTTTGAATATTGATTTAAACAGCTCGTTTTGTGTGAAATAAGCTGCACACATCAGTTTGTGGAGTAAAATATACAAGTTTATGGTGTAAAATACACGCGCCTTCGCAAACTTCCTTTAATATAATAAAAATAATAAAAAATTTAACCTAGTAGCAAAAATTTTTGTTGAATTTTAGGCTTTTTAGCATTGTTTTAACAACATAATTGCTTTTATAGGCATCTGTGCACAAAATAAATGATTATTTACCCCTTTTCATCTGACACAGTTGACTTTAAATATTTTGTAAGAATTGGAAAAAGAAAGCAAATGGCGACTTGTAAAATTAAAGCATTAGGTATTCAAATATGGTGTAGTAGAGCTGTTAATCGTATTATGGTTAGACACAAAACTAAGAGCTCGTAATTCACCGTATAACACACTCCCATTTTAGTTACAGCCGTATTTTTACACTTCAGAAGTATCTTATAGTGTTTATAATCATCAAACGATTATTTCATTTTTATTTTGATTTGAAAAGCTTTAATTAAATTAGAATACTCTTTTTTCAGTTTTCATTTATATCCACCTGTTTTCTTTGTTTTTCCCAACGTTTTTTGTCCATGGCGCCAGCGATGCGTATAAAATGCCACCATTACAATACAATACATAGAATAATTTTATATTTTAATTTCACATAAAAAATAATTACGATCTATTTATTACTTCTATCTCTATAAATAACTTAATATTGATCAAAATATAGCTTAATGTTTTATAAAAGCATATATTAAGAAGATAAAGGAGCTTGAGCTTGATTAAAGAATATTTTAAGAACAAATCGGTGCTAAAGTTTTACTAGTTCTTTATTCAATGTGTATATAGGATAAGCATTAAATCGATACAACCATAGACCATTAGAAAACCTTTGTTTCTAGAAAATGACTAAATACAACTAAGTGCACTAAATAGTATTACGTTAATGCTTATATAATATATAATGTTTTTCATATCACCGAAATACGATAACAGCTTTATATTAATATTACCCAATACTTAAATAGGAGTTTTGACATTGGTATACTTTTTTTATTAACCATAATATGGCATTAAGCATTATTAGATAAAATAAATGCCTTTAAACAGATTCGAAACTTGACCAGAGCTGATTTAAAATGTTAGTATGACTTTAGGACATAAATCGGTACTTATTTTAGTTAATATATTATTTATGTGCTACTTGGGATAGCGGTATGGGGCGTGGCCCCATTCTGCTAAAAATGGGTTCTGTTGATGTAGCCAACATGACGATGCGGCTCCTTTATAAAAAAGTTGTCCAACATCCCTTAATATCGGCGTGACCTAAGAGTTTCACCTCTGTCGGAAAATATATCCCAATTATTCCATTGGCAAAAAACCAAACTATAGTCTTTGAACTGTGGAGAGGTTACTGATCTCCTTCTTATGGATTGCTCATACTCCAATAATGCATGTTCTGTTTACTAACGTAACCCAATGTCAAAATTCGCCTCGTCACTAAAAAGATAAGGTAAGGGTAGGAAATCGTTCCAGAACAACTCTAGAGTGTTTTCAACCCTGAGTCAGCTGTTTTTGGGACGTACTAAGGAACAAGTTTTTAATCGGTCATTGACTTCTTCATTTCTAAAAACGAAATAAACTAGTTTATGATTTATGAGACCGCTTTCATGCAAATTCTACCAGACAATCACTAAACAAGGCAGTCAAAATGTTTAAGTCGATTAACAGACTAACAGCCGGTTTCTGATTTTAAAAAAGCAGATAATCTCTACTGATTATTCTCAATAACCTACTTTTTTTTATTTCACAAGTCAAATAGTCCTAGTTTTATCAAACTGCTATCAACTGATCATCAAAAAACTAAAATCGCAAACGAAAACTAAGTAATGTTGGTTTAACAATTTCAAACTTACTACCACTAAACGAATCAGTCAAAATGCTGAAATTAATTAATAGACTAACATTTAATAAATCATTGTAAAAAGATTATTCTAATATTAACTAATTTACATTACGTTACTACATTATTTCAAATAGTCAGTTTCTAAAAAAATGTAACTAAATGGATCAAATAACACGATCATTTATTAAAGTAGTTAAACTAATACATCATCCATTAACATAACAACACTAAGTAAGGGTTTGGTTACTTATTTAAAATGTATTTAAAAAGAAAATTCAAAAACAATTACGTGGTAACAAAATACGAATTCAAAAAATAGATGAACTGAATTCGTCCGTTGTTATCAAAGGCAAAGCGAACCGGTCTCCTTCACTCCATTCACTCACCGTGCGCGCGGCTTGTTTGTTCCATCGGTGTCGACGCCTTTGTTTCAGTCACCGCCGGACATTTGCGCGTGAGGCACGTTATTGCATCACTGCCACCGTACCGCTGCGAAGCGACTTTTTGTCGATTTTGTTTTGTTCTAGTGCATTTTTAATTCAATTTTTGTTAATAAGATACTACAGTGCTCGTCTTGAGTGTTAAGTTTAGTTTAGTGAAGATTTTGTTTAGTTTTGTGTGAAATGTGATGTGTTTTGCGCGTGCATGCACTGGCATGCAGAAGAGCGTGCTTAGCTGTCTTCAGAGAAGAATTGGATATTTTCTGCATCGACTAACATTAAGATATCGGTAAATAATTAAATTAAATTAATGTATTTCGCGGTCCTTGTTATCTGCGCACAATCGATATTGCGCATGCGCGTTATAGGGCTCTCAACACTTAGAAATTGAAATATTTGTCAAATAAAATGAACGTTTGCATATAACCTAACTTGAAACTTTCGGCTGTGTCGGTCATTTTGTTGCTCCCTGTATGTACAGACAAACAATTTTTGCTCTCATTCAAATGGCAGACATATCTTTAAAACAGATGTAACGCAGAGTGATAATTCTAAAAGAACCATAAAGCTATCGCTACATTTAATGAAGTTAAAACTTATTGTGAAACATGCAAAATTTACATAAATACAAAAGACTTTCTCTCTCATGTAAATGGTGAAAGACATATAACAAATATGCAAACAGCTTGTGATCCTATTGCGTTAGCGCAGATGAAAATAACAACTAGAAGTTTATTCATATGTGAAGTTTGTGATGTACATGTACCAAAATTTAATAAAAACGTCTTAGAACATATGCGAGGTGTAAAACATACAGCCAACTTTGAATCGTTACTTAATTCAAATAAAATTATTAAATACGACGACAATTATTATGATTGTAAAGTTTGTGATAGATTTATTTTAGTCAAATCAGTTTTAGATCACATTGATTCGTTGAAACACAAATCTCAGAAATCTGAACCGAAACTTTTTTGTAAATTATGCAACGTATCAATTGATGACCATCCAAATATTGTAAAAGATCACAAAAACAGTGACTGTCACAAAATGAAATTAGCTGAACTGTATACCCATCGTCATCTTCAAATAAACAATGGCGCTGTTACGTATAAATGTAACGTGTGTGATATTTATATAGACGTGTCGCAAGCAAAATCTCACATCGAGAGCGTGTCACACTATTTGAAATTTAACTCTGTGCTGATTAGCAATAAGATTCAGAAAACTGGTGATAGTTTCTTCTGTAATATATGATTTGTTTACTTTGTAAATAAAGAGGCAATCTAATATCTCTTTACGAAAAATCAAGAGAGAAAAATGCCTAATTCAAGTAAATGTAAAAATCGAAAAAAAATCTTTATTCAAATAAACTTTTAAAAAGTACTTTTCAATAATCCGTCATGTTTTAGCCTACCATCAGTTTAGCACAGGCTGACAAGAGAACCAGTGAAAGAAATTCACCTGGTCTCACAGAAGTAACTTATACGGAGAAGAAGAAAATTATTCGATTTGTTTCTTAGCTCATTTTGTTGTAGTCTAATGCTCATTAGATATTTAAAAAAAAATATTCGATATGTTTCTTAGCTCATTTCGTTGTAGTCTTATGCTCATATAAAAAAAAAATGAAGACAAACTGCTTCTACCGTAAATGAGCAATGACCTTCAAATTGTAACCTAACTGAAACATTAAAGAATATTTACTGATTTTATATTTGTTTATAACCAACTTAATATCGTAAAGTCGCTTGGGTAAATTAGCCCTTCAATCATCGATATGATCAAACAGTCGAATAGGGATGATGACTAATTTTTGTGTGTTTGTCCTTCAGGTAGTGTTAAAAAAAATATTAAACACGTATTTTTTTCGTAATCATAAAATTCCGGCGTTACATTGAGTTGAAATTTCGCATGACGTCACGTTAGAGTATGTTTTCTACTCAACTGTGACGTAGTGAGCCCCCACTGCTCAATTTTAATGCTTGTTATCTAAGCTATTTCTTGTTAAATTGAAGTAAAAAAATACGTATCTAATATTTTTCTATTATCTGACTGACGGACTAAATAGAATTGCATTTTTTTTTACCCAGTCATCATCCCTATTCAAATAAAGCTATCTTAACTTAGGAAGTAACTGCGTCCAAGTGAAAATAAACGGAATCGTTTTTCGTCTTTTAGAAGTCTTAGAGTTTGCTGTTGCTTTAAAGCCTTTGATCCTCGTTCGATCCACGTTGAGTCAATATTTCGAATCATAGACAAATAATCTAAAAGCGAAAATATTTCTGTTTTCAGGGCCACAATCGCCTTGCATTATACTGCGTTTTGTGCAATAAAAATATAGTGACTAAAAATGGTCATATAACATCAGATGCTCATGTCAACATACTGAAAAAAGCAATTGCTGATGGAGCTAAAACAAAGAAAAATAATAATCCTGCAAACAGTATTGCCAACACAAAAAAGTCAAACAAAAGACAAAGATACTGCAAACCTTGTAATAGATATATAGACTGGCATAATTTTGAGGCTCACACCAAGGGTGCAATTCATAAGAATAATGCAAAAGCTGTATCTAAAAGCAATACGGGAAAAGAAAGCACTGTGGGAGCAATTGAAAATTTACCAAACAAAACTTACTGTGCTCCATGTAATATACATATAGAGACAAACAATTTCAGCTCCCATTTAAATGGCCAAAGACATCAATCTAATATATTCATCAATCCTTGGAAAACAACCAAGTATTGTGAAACATGCAAAGTTCACGTAAAAACGAAGGATTTTTTGACACATGAAAATAGCATGATCCATAGGATAATGCACCGGGAGAGTCTCGAGTCTTCTGTAGGGTTTGCTGTGTGAACGTAAATAAATCGCCTAAGACCCTCAATAAACATGTTATTTGCGCAAACCATGTCGGCGGTTACGAATCATTACTTAATTCAAATAAAATCGTTAAATATAATAAACATTATTATAATTGCAATGTGTGTAAAACAATGATCGCAGAGAAATCAGTTTTAGATCATATTGAATCTTCGATACACCAAGCGCTAAAACCTATTTGTAATTTATGTAACATTACAATTGATTACACGCAGAATGCTGTTGCTGATCACAAAAACAGTGAAAAGCAGTTGGCAGAACTGTATACACATTATCATCTGCAACTAAATTCTGACGACATAACTAATGTCAGATTTAAATGTAACGTATGTAACACTTATATAGATGTGTCCCAATCAAAATCGCACGTTGAGAGCGCGTCTCATCACACGAAACTATACTCTATGCTATCTAGCAATAACATTGAGGAAGAAGATGACAAATATGTCTGTAATGTATGTTCTGTTATTATTGAAAATAAAAAAGAATTGAAACATGTGACTACGCAATTTCACATAAAACAGTTGTCTGCTGTTTATTATTGTCCTATTTGCGATGTCAGAGTTCCCAACAATGAAAAAAATATTAAAAGTCATGAACAAGGATACAACCATCAAATGAATCTTGCAGATAGCGATGATGACTAATTTTTATTTGTCTGTCAGTCAGGTAGATAATAGGGATGACGACTGGGTAAAAAAAATGCAATTCTATTTAGTCCGTCAGTCAAATAATAGAAAAATATTAGATACGTATTTTTTTTTACTTCAATTCAACAAGAAATAGCTTAGAAAACAGGCATTAAAGTTGAGGAGTGGGGGCTCGCTACATCACAGTTTAGTAGAAAACTACCATAACGTGACGTCATGCGAAATTTCAACTCCATGTTACGCCGTAATTTAATGATAACGAAAAAAAATACGTGTTTAATATTTTTTAACACTACCTGACGGACAAACAAACAACAATTAGTCGTCATCCCTATTGAAGAATATTAAACACGCATTTTTTGTGTAAACAATAGATTACGGGGGAGTTGAAATACCATAGCTGTGACTTTGACTCTTCTCGACTTTATCTGACATCTGACTGATGCACTAAATAGAGTTCCTTTTTTTTACCTAGGCATCATACTATTTTGAATTTTTCGAGAGATCCAGAGCCCAGAATTTGTGATATAAATAATTTTAATTCCATTGAATTATATGCCCGATTTACTTTAATGCAGTTGAGCAAAAGTATTCCAATATAATTATATATATCCGTTGATATTTATCAGCGACGTATGGTTTAATTAAACTATTACAGGGAGGTTATTTTCTAATTCTAAAATCTATCGTAATCCTGTAATTTGACGTTATAATCAGAGGCCGGAATTAGGTAGAGTTATTTATGTACTTGCATCGAAATGTTGATATTAATGTGGACCTTCCCGGGATTTCTTTATTTCTTTCTTCCATTGATGTAAGTTTGGCAACGTCGTGCGTGCAGTATTTTAAATTGTGTAAAAGTAAATAACTTTTTATTTAAAAAATCACGAGAATTTTTCTGCTCTTTAAAATTAATCTCGGGGTTTGAGGCATATCCACTTTATTCTTTCGCTGTATGAAATCAGTGTAAGTACATGTATAACTCTACCCAATTGTGACCACTGGTTATATATAATTCACGAACTTCACGCTACAACTTTTTGACATGTGTGACTTTTTTAATGAACGATATCGTTGATTTGACCTTAATTGGGATTGTCTTAGGCAAACCTTTAATGCATATGTCTTTGGAAGCTATTAACAAATGTCTAACGAAAGAGTTAAATGATTAAAATTTTTCGATGAGTTTAACTAAGCTTTTATGATGTTTATATAATTAGTTTCAAAACCGATTGTGACTTTAAGCGTTATATAATTTCATACATCGCTATCACAATGTGATTGTGATAGATCCTGAAATTAGATAATTATTAGACCACATAAGCAATCCAGCGACATTTCGCTCACTGAATAGTACAGTGGCACAACTCAAAAACCATATTTCGAGAAACGCTCTCCGAAGTTATGAAAATTTAATATATTTATAATTATGAAAATCATTTTTTTAGCATAACAGTTAAATCGTTTGTAATATATTATTACTGTTAAGGTTTTTACTTATTCTTTATATTATCTATGGGATGCCACCACAATGTTGTGGCATTTTCTCGAAATAATGCTTATTGAGTTGTGCCACTGTAGTATTCAGTGAGCGATTTGTACGTGGGATTGAAAAATGTAAATCGGGCATAATGTCCATTTTGCGCAGGTATTGTATGTCTATGTCGCAGCCAAGTTGTTAAATCAGCCCTCCAATTAGATGGCTGGCTCTTTCATTGAATGGCGAGCTAAAAAGATATTAATTAAAGGGCTACCACTTGGCTACGACATCTATACAATGTTTATGGCGAACTTTGATTTTTTTCTGAAGATATAGGGCAGTGTCATGTTTTATTGTTATGTTTTTACAGTTTTAGGTAAGGTATTTTGTAACATTCTGTATAAGTAGTCATTTTTCACCAAAATTGTTATAAAATGTATTGTTTTTGAGCTATCTTTTTATAAAATGTGTTTTAGAATTAATAATCAGTGCCAATAACACTAAAATAGTTGTATAATCGAGCACAAATGTGATATTTTTTATATGGATACCAAAGATACAAAAGTGTAGGTAATATAACCTAATGACTTCGATATATTATGCGCAGTACCAAACCACAGTGTAAATATAAGTATACAGTGGTGAAACTGCCTACAAGTGTTCAAAATCGCACGCACACATAAACACGCTCACCGACGAGCCGCCTAAGTGGACCTAACAGGACGCTCAGTAACGCGTAGCGCGTCGAGATGAGGGGTCACGTTATACGTTCTGCGATCGTTTTTATTTAAAAAAATGAAGGAAAGATTAAGGAAACGAGTAGGCTTATATGAAATAAAAAATAAGATTTTTGTATGATCTGGAAATATATTTTAGTCTGGAAATATATTTTAACCGCCCAGTTTTCACATATGTTATTTCTATATCATGTGGTGATAATAGAATAATATAAGTAGATATCACCGTCTGAACAAATGTGTATGTATATTGTTTGTTTGTTAATTAGTTATTACAATTCGATTGATTGATAATGTCAGAACTCCTTTTATATTTTGTAAAAGAAACATTCAAAACGACAACCCTATGGTTTCAATGGAGCGTAGGTATTTATTTTATCAAATAGGCTTAGTTTCTATACTGTGTCATTCTTATACTGTGACCAAACCTTCGTAAAAAGAATTTATGTTTATATACAAAAAATATATTTATCGCCACAGAAATACAAATCGCACTTGAAAATAGTTTTCTCACTGATTATTCGCACTTCAATAAATCTTCTTCTCGTTCTTTGATAGCTGAATAGATAAATTCAATTTCATCAAATTCAAAAATTAGTTCCCGAAATCAAACTAGATGTCGCTACGGTACTTTCTTGATTTCTCCATGACAACCCTTCCGGTTTTCTTTAATGTATAAAAGTAAATTAGTTTTCAAAACTCAATAAACAAATTCCTTTTGTACTTTTACGTATTTGTATTGATATCTAAGTTTCGAACTTTGCAAATTTCAGTTTTTAATATGTTAGTTAAAAGGAACGGAAATGACTATCTATGGTCCATTCGTTTACTGCAAAAAATTTTTTTGCTAGAGACGCCATCTTTCGGCGTTGCTTTTTTAGTGCTTTCTTTTTTTAAATACTTCCTTATTTCTTCCTTATAGCTAGCTCTTCTATGATTTAACCAGTGTCTATAAATTTATCTTGTCTCTGTTCTATATTGTTTATATCACGGTAAACAAAATAGGATATTTTAAACAAACTATATAGAAAAACAAAGGGGGACGCGCCAAAATCATGGTAACTTAATACAATAAAAACAAGCTTCACAAAAGGCTACGAACGGACGAACATTTTTATTAAAATTAAATTAATACATTGCGAAAATGTGGTATTTAAAAAATCTGTTCTTATCGCAATATCAAGTTTCTGATCCGGTTGGAAAAAGGTATAGATCCGGAACTGTCTCTGCTATCTTTATCTTATCCCAGGTGTCTCACAAAAGAAATCCCGCGGCATAACTCTTATTCCTTAGTAATAAAATATTGTGATCTATAGAGACTTCTTCGTGAGACAAACTTTAGTCCCATTTAATATAATATATTAAATGGGCCTAAAGTTTATGTACTTTTATACATATTATGTACTTTTATTTGTATAGTTAATTAAGTTTTTATTTAAATTGACAAAGCTAGCTAGATCGCTAGTATTCCATACTTTTAAATTTTGATACATTTACCCATAAGTAAAAAAAAAAGTGCACAAGTAATAAAGCAAGAAGTGTTGAAAGAATTTTATTTATCATGTAATTCTATTATGATTGTTCATGGTTAAATGTGGAAATAAACCTTTTTCTAAATTTCCTTTGTAAATTATTCAATCAGTCCTTCTGGTTTAAGTGGGAGAAGTGACTTTATAATTTATATTTAAAAAAGTCTATCTAAACTAACTAGAGACGCTTTTCTAAGCCAAAACTGTGATATGTAAGATTGAATTGCCGTCTCCCTTACTAAGGAGTAAGCGAGACGGCAATATAGTTGACTAAACGATGTATTATGCTGTGTCATAGTGAAACCGAAAAAACGCTGACTCGAGCCCTGCCCCTTTATTCTGTAACTCTGAGGACAACTGAAATAAAGAAGTGGGTAAGCATTTTGACACATTGGAATGAGTTAGCGAATAGGCCTGCTGTGCGAGTGATATTAACCTAAACAGGTAGGGTTGTTGCATTTCTGACATAAAAACTAAAAAAAAAATATAACAGAATTAAAACTTTGAAAAAGTGATTAATAATACTTATCTCAAAAGCGACTTATTCAAGAATTAAATGATACTTCAAAAGAATAAAATTTCATTTGATATAAGTATTATTTATCACTTTTTTAAAAGTGTGAAGTCGGTTCTATTTTTTATTTCATGTTTTTTTTAATAATAGGTAACACTAAAAATATTAGGTTCTTACATATGAAATTGGCGTTTAACCGTACTGGCCACTTTAATCACAAATTTCTTGGTTCCTTGATTCCTTGGTTGGGAATTCCAAATTCAAATTTATACAGCCATTTTTACATGTATTTGTTTTTCATTCATTCATTCAATCGTTTTCATCCATGGGACAGGCGAAGGAACTAAGCCTTACAGATATTTGTGTTTCGTTAGGCGGCATTAATTTCTTTCTTTTTTCTTCTGTTTGTCCTATTTACGTCACCCAATATAAAAAATGGAAACCTGAAATATCGTGTTATTACCCGACTGTACGACGCAAAGGAGGGTAATGTGTTTATCAGTCTTTGTATGTATGTTTTTATGTGGCGCCCTAGAGACCAAATGCGTGGTTTCTAATTTTAAAAAAGCAGATAATCTCTACTGATTATTCTCAATAACCTACTTTTTTTTATTTCACAAGTCAAATAGTCCTAGTTTTATCAAGCTGCTATCAACTGATCATCAAAAAACTAAAATCGCAAACGAAATCTAAGTAATGTTGGTTTAACAATTTTAAACTGACTACCACTAAACGACTCAGTCAAAATGCTGAAATTAATTAATAGACTAACATTTAATAAATCATTGTAAAAAGATTATTCTAATGTTAACTAATTTACATTACGTTACTACATTATTTCAAATAGTCAGTTTCTAAAAAAATGTAACTAAATGGATCATTTATTAAAGTAGTTAAACTAATACATCATCCATTAACATAACAACACTAAGTAAGGGTTTGGTTACTTATTTAAAATGTATTTAAAAAGAAAATTCAAAAACAATTACGTGGTAACAAAATACGAATTCAAAAAATAGATAAACTGAATTCGTCCCTTGTTATCAAAGGCAAAGCGAACCGGTCTCCTTCACTCCATTCACTCACCGTGCGCGCGGCTTGTTTGTTCCATCGGCGTCGACGCCTTTGTTTCAGTCACCGCCGGACATTTGCGCGTGAGGCACGTTATTGCATCACTGCCACCGTACCGCTGCGAAGCGACTTTTTGTCGATTTTGTTTTGTTCTAGTGCATTTTTAATTCAATTTTTGTTAATAAGATACTACAGTGCTCGTCTTGAGTGTTAAGTTTAGTTTATTGAAGATTTTGTTTAGTTTTGTGTGAAATTGATGTGTTTTGCGCGTGCATGCACTGGCATGCAAAAGAGCGTGCTTAGCTGTCTTCAGAGAAGAATTGGATATTTTCTGCATCGACTAACATTAAGATATCGGTAAATAATTAAATTAAATTAATGTATTTCGCGGTCCTTGTTATCTGCGCACAATCGATATTGCGCATGCGCGTTATAGGGCTCTCAACACTTAGAAATTGAAATATTTGTCAAATAAAATGAACGTTTGCATATAACCTAACTTGAAACTTTCGGCTGTGTCGGTTATTTTGTTGCTCCCTGTATGTACAGACAAACAATTTTTGCTCTCATTCAAATGGCAGACATATCTTTAAAACAGATGTAACGCAGAGCAATAATTCTAAAAGAACCATAAAGCTATCGCTACGTTTAATGAAGTTAAAACTTATTGTGAAACATGCAAAATTTACATAAACACAAAAGACTTTCTGTCTCATGTAAACGGTGAAAAACATATAACAAATATGCAAGCTTGTGATCCTAGTGCGTTAGCGGAGATGAAAATAACAACTAGAAGTTTATTCATATGTGAAGTTTGTGATGTACATGTACCAAAATTTAATAAAAACGTCTTAGAACATATGCGAGGTGTAAAACATACAGCCAACTATGAATCGTTACTTATACTCCATTCATTCATAGCATTAGACAGAATGAAAATAAGGTTCTTTTTATGGTATACTTTGTGACAAAATGTCAACAATCATGTTACTCTTAAGACTAACGGCTAATTTGCTACATATCCACTTAAATACCAGTTGCTATACTTAACCGTTGTCTTTTAAGCTATATATCAAACAAATTTATGAGTATTTGACTGATTTAATAATTATTACAATAAAAAGTGTTCATCTTAAAGAACATAAAGAAGCAGGGTTAGATAGTTTTGGCACGATTCTCATGTCACTATAACTCTACCAAATTTAAAACGTTGCCTTATCCCTTTAAACGTTTCGGCAGTACAGCTTTTTAATTTTGTCAGATTATGATTTATTCATAATAGTCAAAATACGTAATCTGGGATTGTCATTCATTGTGAATGCTACTGCCTTTCTTGTTCTTTTGCCATTTTCGGTGATTGAGTAATTACTGTTTTATTGTTGTTTTCTTATAGTTGTAATCTTTTTGTTGTTAAGTTTTGCTAAATTGCAATTCCGATGCAGGCCCGAGTGGTCTACTACATTTAGCTTTGACATTTCAGCAAGTTTTTCCAATGTCTTAATCAATAGTCTAATAATATCTGAATAAATGTTATAACAGTAATAATAAAAAAGTAATTTTGTTTTCCTTTATTTTCTGGGCATAGATATAAATAAATTATATTCTAATTATATACACTTACAATTAGAATCAATCAAAACAACAGATAGTTTTATTTCCACGTTGTATCTCAGTAAAAGATGAATTTAGAAAATGCTAGTCTCATTTCAACCCCAAGAAAATGGAAAATTGCCCAACTCTTTCAGACTACCTAAAGTTCAAAATTTCAACAAAACTATTATAAATATTTTTTAATTTATCTTGTAAATAAAATGTTCTGTACTGCTGCTTCTGAGATCCTCTTTTTTCTAATGTTATAATGAATGGAGTATAATTCAAATAAAATTATTAAATATGACGACAATTATTATAATTGTGAAGTTTGTGATACATTTATTTTAGTCAAATCAGTTTTAGATCACATTGATTCGTTGAAACACAAATCTCAGAAATCTAAACTGAAACCTTTTTGTAAATTTTGCAACGTATCAATTGATGCCCATCCAAATATTGTAAATGATCACAAAAACAGTGATGGTGACAAAATAAAATTAGCTGAACTGTATACCCATCGTCATCTTCAAATAAACAATGACGCCTTTCCGGATGTTACGTATAAATGTAACGTGTGTGATATTTATATAGACGTGTCGCAAACAAAATCTCACATCGAGAGCGTGTCACACTATTTGAAATTTAATTCTGATTAACAATAAGATTCAGAAAACTGGCTCTCTACGAAAACTCAAGAGAGAAAAATGCCTAATTCAAGTAAATGTAAAAATCGAAAATAATCTTTATTCAAATAAACTTTTAAAAAGTACTTTTCAATAGTCCGTCATGTTTAAGCCTACCATCAGTTTAGCACTGGCTGACAAGAGAACCAGTGAAGGAAATTCACCAGGTCTCACAGAAGTAACTTATACGGAGAAGAAGAAAATTATTCGATTTGTTTCTTAGCTCATTTTGTTGTAGTCTTATGCTCATATAAAAAAAAAATGAAGACAAACTGCTTCTACCGTAAATGAGCAATGACCTTCAAATTGTAACCTAACTGAAACATTAAAGAATATTTACTGATTTTATATTTGTTTATAACCAACTTAATATCGTGAAGTCGCTTGGGTAAATTAGCCCTTCGATCATCGATATGATCAAACAGTCGAATAGGGATGATGACTAATTTTTGTTTGTTTGTCCGTCAGGTAGTGTCAAAAAAAATATTAAACACGTATTTTTTTCGTAATCATAAAATTCCGGCGTTACATGGAGTTGAAATTTCGCATGACGTCACGTTAGAGCACGTTTTCTACTCAACTGTGACGTAGCGAGCCCCCACTGCTCAATTTTAATGCCTGTTATCTAAGCTATTTCTTGTTAAATTGAAGTAAAAAAATACGTATCTAATATTTTTCTATTATCTGACTGACGGACTAAATAGAATTGCATTTTTTTTTACCCAGTCATCATCCCTATTCAAATAAAGCTATCTTCACTTAGGAAGTAACTGCGTCCAAGTGAAAATAAACGGAATCGTTTTTCGTCTTTTAGAAGTCTTAGAGTTTGCTGTTACTTTAAAGCCTTTGATCCTCGTTCGATCCACGTTGAGTCAATATTTCGAATCATAGACAAATTATCTAAAAGCGAAAATATTTCTGTTTTCAGGGCCACAACCGCCTTGCATCATACTGCGTTTTGTGCAATAAAAATATAGTGACTAAAAATGGTCATATAACATCAGATGCTCATGTCAACATACTGAAAAAAGCAATTGCTGATGGAGCTAAAACAAAGAAAAATAATAATCCTGCAAACAGTATTGCCAACACAAAAAAGTCAAACAAAAGACAAACATATTGCAACCCTTGTAATAGATATATAGACTCGCATAACTTTGAGGCTCACACCAAGGGTGCAATTCATAAAAATAATGCAAAAGCTGTAAATGCATCTAAAAGCAATACGGGACAAGAAGGCACTGAGGGAGCAATTGAAAATTTACCAAACAAAACTTACTGTGCTCCATGTAATATACATATAGAGACAAAGAATTTCAGCTCCCATTTAAATGGCCAAAGACATCAATCTAATATAGATATAACGCCAAACGAAAATCCTTGGAATACAACCAAGTATTGTGAAACATGCAAAGTTCACGTAAAAACGAAGGATTTTTTGACACATGAAAATAGCATGATCCATATGCAAAGAGTTTTCGATCCCTCTGCATTAGCTCATATGGATAATACACCGGGACATTTGTTCTTCTGTAGAATTTGTTGTGTGAAAATAACTAAATCGCCTAAGACCCTCAATGAACATGTTATTGGCGCAAACCATGTCGGCGGTTACGAATCAATACTTAATTCAAACAAAATCATTAAATACAATAAACATTTTTATAATTGCAACGTGTGTAAAACAATGATCGCAGAGAAATCAGTTTTAGATCATATTGAATCTTCGATACACCAAGCGCTTAAACCTAGACGTATATGTAATTTATGTAACATTACAATTGATTACACGCAGAATGCTGTTACTGATCACAAAAATAGTGACACTCACAGAAAGCAATTGGCAGAACTGTATACACATTATCATCTGCAACTAAATTCTGACGACATAACTAATGTCAGATTTAAATGTAACGTATGTAACACTTATGTAGACGTGTCCCAATCAAAATCGCACGTTGAGAGCGCTTCTCATCACACGAAACTATACTCTATGCTATCTAGCAATAACATTGAGGAAGAAGATGACAAATATGTCTGTAATGTATGTTCTGTTATTATTGAAAATAAAAAAGAATTGAAACATGTGACTACGCAATTTCACATAAAACAGTTGTCTGCTGTTTATTATTGTCCTATTTGCGATGTCAGAGTTCCTAACAATGAAAAAAATATTAAAAGTCATGAACAAGGATACAACCATCAAATGAATCTTGCAGATAGCGATGATGACTAATTTTTATTTGTCTGTCAGTCAGGTAGATAATAGGGATGACGACTGGGTAAAAAAAATGCAATTCTGTTTAGTCCGTCAGTCAGATAATAGAAAAATATTAGATACGTATTTTTTTTTTACTTCAATTTAACAAGAAATAGCTTAGATAACAGGCATTAAAGTTGAGGATTGGGGCTCGCTACGTCACAGTTTTGTAGAAAACTTACCAAAATATGACGTCATGCGAAATTTCAACTCCATGTAACGCCGTAATTTAATTACGAAATAAAAAACTACGCGTTTAATATTTTTAACACTACCTGACGGACAAACAAACAAAAATTAGTCGTCATCCCTATTGAAGAATATTAAACACGCATTTTTTGTATAAACAATAAATTACGGGGGAGTTGAAATATTATAGCTGTGACTTTGACTCTTCTCGACTTTATCTGACATCTGACTGGTGGACTAAATAGAATTCCTTTTTTTTTACCCAGGCATCATAACTATTTTGAATTTTTCGAGACAATCAGAGCCCAGAATTTGTGATATAAATAATTTTTATATGTTATAACATATTAAAATTATACTTCTGTGTTATAAAAAGTTTGGCTTTTAATGTAACGACGAATTTATCTCGAGTGACAAGGTGCATTATCGGTCATTTGCACAAACGTCCATTAAGGTTTAATGACGCCCTTAAGCTCTAATGAATGTCAAATTTGTATAAGTAATGTAGCTTTAGACTAATGAAAATCTAAATGTATGTTTGTGCAACTGGCTATATGACTGCTATATATAATAAAATATTTGATGTAAGTATGTAATAAGTTTTTTTTTTATTCTAGAATTTTGATACTTGTTTTTTGATTTGTTGACGGTAGTTATTTTTTGTTATTATTATTTAAGTGTTATTAGATTATTATAAAACATTCCATTGAATTATATGCCCGATTTACTTTACTCCAGTTGAGCAAAAGTATTCCAATATAATTATATATATCCGTTGATATTTATCAGCGAACTATGGTTTAATTAAACTTTTACAGGGGGGGTTATTTTCTAATTCTAAAATCTACCGCAATCCTGTAATTTGACGTTAAAATTCACGAACGCTACAACTTTTTGACATGTGTCCATTTCGCGCAGGTATTGTATGTCTATGTCGCTGCCGTTGTTAAATCAGCACTCCAATTGGATGGCTGGCTCTTTCATTGAATGGCTAGCTAAAAAGATATTAATCAAAGGGCTAACTGCCCAATTGGACGGCTGTTTTAACCACTACAACATCTGTACAATGTTTATGGCGAACTTTGATTTTTTTTTATAAAGATATAGGGCAGTGTCTTGTTTCATTGTTATGTTTTTACAGTTTTAGGTAAGGTATTTTGTAACATTCTTTATAAGTAGTTATGTAGTTATTTTTCACCAAAATTGTTATAAATTTCATTGTTTTTGAGTTGTCTTATAAAATGTGTCGAAATGTACAAATAGTTTTCTAATCGTAAGTAACATAACCTAACGACTTCGATATATTATGCGCAGTGCCATACCTTTGTAAAAAGAATTTATGTTTATATACAAAAAATATATTTATCGCCACAGAAATACAATTCGCACTTGAAAATAGTTTTCTCACTGATTATTCGCACTTCAATAAATCTTCTCGTTTGAATTGCTTTTAAACACTAAAAATAACTTTTATCCCTGAATAGATAAATTCTATTTCATTCAATTCAATGAGGAAGTAATTAAAAAAAAAACATTAGTTCCCGAAATCAAACTAGATGTCGCTACGGTACTTTCTTGATTTCTCCATGACAACCCTTCCGGTTTTCTTTCACGTATAAAAGTAAATTAGTTTTCAAAACTCAATAAACAAATTCCTTTGTACTTTTACGTATTTGTATTGATATCTAAGTTTCGAACTTTGCATTTTTCAGTTTTTAATATGTTAGTTAAAAGGAACGGAAATTACTGTCTTTGGTCCAGTTTAGTGGCTTTTTTAGTTTCTCTTTTCAAGTACTTCCTCATTTCTTCCTTATAAATTTATCCTGTCTCTGTACTATATTGTTTATATCACGGTAAGCAAAATAGGATATGTGAAATAAACAATATAGTAAAACAAAGGGGGGACGCGCCAAAATCATGGTAACTTAAATAAAGCAATAAGTGTTTAAAGAATTTTATTTATCATGTAATTTTATTATGATTGTTCATGGTTAAATGTGGAAATAAACCTTTTTCTAAATATCTTTTGTAAATTATTCAATAATTCCTTCTAGTTTAAGTGGGAGAAGTGACTTTATGATTTATATTTTAAAAAGTCTATCTAAACTAACTAGAGACGCTTTTCTGAGCCAAAACTGTGATATGTGTGACCGAATTGCCGTCTCCCTTACTAAGGAGTAAGCGAGACGGCAATATAGTCGACTAAACGATGTATTATGCTGTGTCATAGTCAAACCAAAAAAAACACTGACTCGAGGACCTGCCCCTTTATTCTGTAACTTTGAGGACAACTGAAATAAAGAGCTCTGCGGGTAAGCAATCATTTTGAGACATTGGAATGGGTTAGCGAATAGACCTGCTGTGCATGCGATAGTCTTTCTTCTATGGTAATTTACTTAATACGCGTTAAATATAGGCTACGATTTTGCGCAAGTGAAAACTACTAATTTGATTTCGATAAAATTGAAATGGGACGACCTCGGTCCTTTAAGCTGTCCATTGAAAAAGAATCTTGATAATTGGGGGAAATGGCGGTGAATATACATAAAAAAATACATCGCCGTCGAATGAATGAATGAATAATAATTTTATTTGCATATATCACACACACACATGCCAGCAATTAAATTAAAAGACACACACAACTCTGCATGTGTGCCGGAACGATGCAAAAAGGCAAAAGCTCAGAGCAAACTACTGATTTTCAGCTTTAACCTAAAAAGTTGAATTAGCGGTGACGCAACTAAATAGGTATTTACTGTTCGTCAGTTTAAAATTAAATGTTGATGATATATACTTTGAAACTATTTCAATAAAATTACATAAGATTACATAGCTCGGTGGCGTAGTGGAACGTGGTCGGTCACGGGATGGGTGACCAAAAAAATTATTATCTCGAGCTACTCCGTGCTTCGGAAGGCACGTTAAGCCATTGGTCCCGGCTGCATTTGCAGTCGTTAATACCCTCCAATCCGCATTGGGCCAGCGTGGAGGGTCATGGCCCATCCTCCTTAACCATCCATAAGGAAGGCCTGAGCCCCTGCAGTGGGGACGTAAAAGGGCTGGTGATGATGATGACATAAGATTATAAAACTTGTAATACAATGTGAATTGGATTAGGAAATAATATACTTAAAATGAATTGCATTATAAATTAAATAATAATAATTAACATAATAATAAATTAAATCATGTTTGTTTGATTATGAAGATTTAGGTAAATGTCAAAATTTAAAATAAAATAATTATATTAAATCTTGGGTATGTTCCGATATACACTGCGAGCACTGCGCAGTGGTCTTACTGCTGAAAAATCCGTTCCGTTATGGACTGCCAGAATACTGCTACAGTACCCTAGGGAAATTTATGACGTCATAAATTGCCGCCATATTTGTACTGTGAGCACTGGAGATTTCGAGGTAAGGTGCTCGCAGTGCTTTTGATCACGTGATCAGTCGAAACAGAATCAGAAAATGATAAGTTTCTAAATAAACAAAAAAAAAATACTTACGTTTAAGAGTACTACTATATATTATAAGATGGATTTAATTGATAAATATTTTTTTTATATACAATTTTATAATATTTTCTTTTGAAAAGAGGGAATCTTTATTTATATTCACATTGCATTAAAAAATACCAACTTTCAGTATGGAGATCAAACATTAAAACATAACAGCTGTTTTTTTTATTAGGAGGGTATCATATATTTCCTTTTTAATATATGAATTAATCCAACGACATTTTCTTTCGGATTATTAGTAAAAAAAAATCCTTAGTTTCTCAATGGGATGATAAGCAAAATACATATAAAGTGACTTCTACGTATTTTCACACTGTTACTTATGTTACTTCCATAAAATACATAAATCTTCCTAATATTATATTTGGAAACTCATATTTTTATATAACACGGACACTAAATATTTTAAAAATAATTGTAAAAAAATCAATAATATTAACAATGAATTAAGACTTTAATCGATATTTCCATGGGAATATTGCAAACCAATATTCCCGTGAAATATTGGTATATAACACGCAATATATGCAGCAGACTTTTGAGTGAAACACATATTCTACTAAATATCATAAAAACTACTCATAAATATTTAAATAAAAGTTTTATTATATTAAAATACAATAAAAAAATAAATAAAGTAAAAAATAAAGTTTAATAAAAATCACTATTTCCTGTAATTTTTTTAGTTGGGTTTCAGTAATTTTCATTGTCGCTATGATAAATAAAACCAAAATTTGTGAAAAAAATCGTGTTAGTAATTTTGCGTGAACAAATGAAGGTTTTTTGACCTGATGTTTTTTTATACCTTCCGTAGCTAAAATGAGATGGATTCTTAAATATAGTCTCTTGTAATTGGCTCACAAACTCGATTAAAAATATTCCAGGCTTATATCGAATTATTTCCGTTTTTCTCGTATTTGTATCAGGCTATAAGGGCTCTATCAAAAGTAGCTCGGTGACGTAGTGGATAAGCGCCCGCGATCTTTGTTGTTAACCAACTTTCGAAAGGGTCAGTCACGGGATGGGTGACCAAAAAGTTATTATCCTGAGTTACACAAGCAAATTACCTTTTATTTAAATAAAGATTGCATGATAGATAATACATACGGAAAAACAAACATGTTTTCTTGCTTTAAACTTAAATGGAAATTATGACGTCATTGTGATATGTACACAAAACAGATGCATATAGTCGAAGATAAAAAGATGTAAACAAAACAAGAACAGTGCCATCCAACAATCGATCACGAAATAAAAAGATATAAATAAGCTAAGAACACCGCCATCTAGTAATTTGATATGTAATTGTTAAGCATATCATTATGATTAATTTGACAGCCGTTGCCACAGTGACGTCATACAATGGCGGGTCACGTGACACACAATCACGACTTTCAATGAGGAAGTAAATAAAAAAAAGGAAGCACTAAAAACCTCCACTAGATGGTGACTCTAGCAAAAGTTGATTTTTGCAGGAAACTAATGAACCAAAGATAGTCATTTCCGTTCCTTTTAACTAACATATTAAAAACTGAAATTTGCAAAGTTCGAAACTTAGATACTTATACAAATACGAAAAAACACACAGAATATGAGTTTTGAAAATTAATTTACTTTTATACATGAAAGAAGTGTTGTCATGGAGAAATCAAGAAAGTACCGTAGCGACATCTAGTTTGATTTCGGGACCGAAGTTTTTTTAAAATACTTTCTCATTTTAGGAATTCAAGTTTATCATGCGATATTAAGACTCAAAATCAGAATCTTTAATTTTTTTATGATGCATATTTTAGTTTTTGTGCAATTTTGTTATTACCGAAAGTATCCTAGTTTTTATATTGTAAGAATTTTGGGTTTAATATATCTGGATTGATATTATTGCGAATATATTAATTGTAAGTCTGGCACATTGTCACCACTGGATTATGAAATGATGTGTTTTTTTTTAGCTGTGCAGCACAATACGGAGCGCTATTAGAACATGTGGAGACTGCGTTAATTATATTTTGTTTTGAATCCAATGGAAATTTCCATGGGAATATTGCAAACCAATATTCCCGTGAAATATTGGTATATAACACGCAATATATGCAGCAGACTTTTGAGTGAAACACATATTCTACTAAATATCATAAAAACTACTCATAAATATTTAAATAAAAGTTTTATTATATTAAAATACAATAAAAAAATAAATAAAGTAAAAAATAAAGTTTAATAAAAATCACTAATTCCTGTAATTTTTTTAGTTGGGTTTCGGTAATTTTCATTGTCGCTATGATAAATAAAACCAAAATTTGTGAAAAAAATCGTGTTAGTAATTTTGCGTGAACAAATGAAGGTTTTTTGACCTGATGTTTTTTTATACCTTCCGTAGCTAAAATGAGATGGATTTTTAAATATAGTCTCTTGTAATTGGCTCACAAACTCGATTAAAAATATTCCAGGCTTATATCGAATTATTTCCGTTTTTCTCGTATTTGTATCAGGCTATAAGGGCTCTATCAAAAGTAGCTCGGTGACGTAGTGGATAAGCGCCCGCGATCTTTGTTGTTAACCAACTTTCGAAAGGGTCAGTCACGGGATGGGTGACCAAAAAGTTATTATCCTGAGTTACACAAGCAAATTACCTTTTATTTAAATAAAGATTGCATGATAGATAATACATAAATCTATAATAAATACATTTTCAATATATGGTCTACCAAATCATTATATGTATATTGTTTTATCTGCAGTTACATGGCTGTATAGACTAAAACCATTCGCTTTGAATTTAAAACAACATTTATTTGCTGTCAAATTCTGTCACTGTAGTGTCAATCGATGTCAACAAGACGACGCTATTTTTCATTCATTTCATTTTACATGTATTAAATAATTTATTTAATTGACATTGGCAGAATTATGCGTAATGCGCAGATAAGCCATTAAATAAAAAAGAAGAAGAAGCCATTGGACGCTGATATTCCTGTGTTATTTTAAATATCTTGTCAGGTAGGTAAATACCTAAATAAACATTTAAATTCGTCATTATAATTTATTTACTTTTATGTATTGTTAAAGCAAATGCAAAAATGTAATTTTGCAGAAGTTAACACAATTTCAATATGAGTTCTATACAAGAGAGACTACAGCTAAAAAGAGTACCTTTGGACACTTGGAACATCAGAGAACAGTTGTGTTTGGCATCCGCCGTGGTAAGGAGTGGTGATCAGAACTGGATGTCGGTATCTAGAGCTTTGAAGACTGTCGGGGAGCCAAACAGACCACCTGATTGGTACTCACAAAAAAGGTAAACAACAGATAAATAATTACCCTCTATACTAACGACTATGTTAAGCTGTTCAGAACTTAAATTATTACTTAGTAGCATCGGCTGGCGAGCACTATGTGTTATGACCTTGTCTGATTTCAAAATCTATCATTATACCTTTGAAATGTAGAGCGATTGTGCTAGTGCTATAGAATTATATATGGTTAAAAATTGCAGTCGGTTTCGGAATGAAATACGATTTAAATAATCTAGCGACAATAAAAACTGGGTAACATAAATTGTATTATCACTATCACTCATTCAGTTATAACAAAATGTATACAAAACAAAGTATGGCAAATAATTATTTTAAATGCATTTCCACTATATGGGTATCTATGACTTCTTGAGAGTAACTAGAAAAAGAATGTGTCATTATTCAAAATCCAATATGGCAAAATACTTATTATTTATGCACTTATGCAATGTGGGTATCAAAAGCATATAACCTCATTATAGACAATTTATATGATTTCTGATGATGGGAATACATTGGTATAACATAGAGTAAATTTTTTTTTTTTATAATGCTGGATACAGGGTTCAGTGTGATAAATACATTGATAATAATAAAACAGTACACTAAGTCTTTTTGTAGTTGACTTGTTATTAAAGAGGAATCTTCTATAAACAAATGTGGTTTTTCTATTAGAGAAAAAAAGGGGGGTATTCCTTTTTTTTAAACAACAAATATTTTAATTCCACTTTTTGTACAATATGATTACAGTTATTTCTTTTGTTTTTGTTATTTTTATAGTTAATAATAATAAAAATAAAAGTTGACTCAATTAGAAATGCTTCGTACAAGTGCTTGAAAACTTTGACAGTCCTGTTAGGTCCTGGCTCAGTGACTAGAGCAGTCGCCCGGATTGCGAAAGTTCATGGGTTCGAGTCCCCTCTCAGAGTGCCAGAGACAAAGTAGATTTTAAGTGAATTTTTCATTAAAATATTTTTTAGTTTAGAATTGTATATGCAAATTTGATCAAATATAATAAAAAGTATGTTGATAATTATGAACCCTGGTTAGACGGTGGCCTTTGCATTCTTAAAGGTACACAACATGATTGTAGACGACGAGGGCTCGCAGTAAAAAATAAAAGTCCGAAATACCAAAGAAAACGACATAGTTTTTTTGAAGGGAAAAATTTTAATCACTTTTGAAAAAGAGTATATAAAAATGACAAACTAAAAACAAAAAGAAAAAACCCAAGACGTCATTCGACTCGTGCTATCAATCCTCTATGCTATCATTATTAAAAAAAAAAACATTTCAATAGTCGCGTCGCTAACAAGCCCCACCCTAGTGCACTCAGCAGCACTCGGTAGTCAATGGAATTCTAGCGACACGAGCTGCGGACCGTGTCAGTATCCCACCTTTTGTTGTAATTGTGACCATTCTTAATCGTCCATCGTTTGCAGGACATGTCTCTTTTATGTCCACAAGGAAAACCAGATCTCCCACTTGCAAGGGTCTCTGTTCTTGATTCCATTTTTTTTGTTCCATTTAAACACCAACGCCGTTTCTTTTTGTTTGGATTATAAACTTTAAAATGAGTCAAGTACCACGTCTTTGGTGTAATTTTATTGTTAATAATGTCTTTAACGTAATTATTCCGTGACAAGTTGTCGTAACTAACCTTTCGTATCGTTTTCATTCCTTAGATTTATATCATTCATTTCACTCATATCGATAAACTTTTTAGTATTTTCCATTTATATTCTTTACTTGATCCATTCTATAACTGTGGACCTTCAATTTTATACCTGTAACCATTAAAATTTTGTAATATAAACTTATCCAAATCTCTACGAACTTTCATCCTATGTTTTTTACTATTTACACTAATGTGAACCCTTACCTGTAGCTTTCATAGTTTTTCGTTATACATTTTACGAATTCTAATCATATTTAAGTACCTATTTATATATTATAACACAAATTATCGCTAATTTTAATTGTTTTGACATAATTGACATCAAAGTTTTTCTTCGTTGCTATGGTTATATTTGATACTCTTCATGAAAATTGACTCATTGTTTGTCAGTTTTAGGCATTAAAACTCTGTACTTTTGAATTTTTAGGGTTCTAATTTCAAATCGTTTACTTCTAAATTTGAGTTCGTCTTCAGGTATAAATAGCCTCGCTCAAATAGTTCTTGATCACTTCAATGGCAACAGTTGCCAAGTTAGCTTTTTGGAGCTCGTACAGAGCTAGCTAAATTCTTAAAAGGCCTATTTCCCGAGGCCGACTGCCCCGGGAACTCTTCAAAGTTACGGTCTCAAAGTCGCATGACATCTTTTTGGCTTTAACTAGACGACAACAAATCAATACTCCACTATAACCTCCTACGCTACTTCACTCCTGGAGGCTGGCTGCGAGTATACGCCTTAGGCCCGAGCTGCTGCTCAGTTCTGGGCTACCGAAGAATCCCCTGTTCGACGCATCGAGACTACGCTTCGCCGATTTACGCTCTCGGTTCTTGGCTGCCGAAGAATCTCCAGTACGACGCATCGAGACTACTCCTCACCGATTTACGCTCTCAATTCTTGGCTGCCGAAGAATCTCCTGTTCGACGCATCGAGAGACTACGCCTCGCTAAATTTACGCTCGGGATCCAGACGCCCCTCAAGACTGCTGAAGTACTTCATCAACGGAATTTCACCGCTGACCCACGCCCCTTCACCTACAGACACTCTCACTCACACTTCTACACTTTTCACCTCACTAATCACCTCGTCCCTTTTATTTTATTTTTTTGTTTAATGTAAATAAATTATTTAATTTGATTTATCATCTTTTAGTTCTTTTTATATCTTGTTTCATAACAATTTGGCGCCCAACTTTTTCTTAAGTAGTCGTAGGTTATTATTGTCATCAATATTGTTTTAGGTTTAAGGTTCTTTTGGGTTCTCTTAGGTGTTTATTCTTTGTTTATCGTTGTCTAGTCATTTAGTTTACTCTTTGGTATCTCTAGTTCTCTAAGACATTTGCTCTTCATTTCTAATTGTCCTAATCTAATCATTTATCATCTGGTTTACTCTTTGTTTCTTTTTGTAGTTGTCCGTGTTTGTCTATCATCTTTATATATTCTTTCTAGATTTTTCAAAATTCTAAAACAACACTTCGTCTAGTGTATTCATCCTTCTTTGGCTTATTTTTGGTTTCTTCTTCATAACAGAAAGAAAGTACGGAAATTTGATTTTATTAGTCTAGGTAGGTTTATAATTAATTTAACTTTAATCGTAATTTTATTGTTAGGATAACTTTAACTTTATCTTTTACTTAAACTTTACCTAATATTCTTTTAGGTAAATAATTTAATTTTTAACTTAACTCTCACTTTCCGAACTTTCTTTTATTTTACATCTCATTCATTCATTCTACACTCATTCTAACTATTATATAATTATTATTTTTTTCTTTTCTCTAGAAGGAAACAAGGTAATTCTCTTGAACTTTATTAATAATGTCTCGCTTAATAAAATTTGATTTTCTTAATAAACCTGAACTAATTTATGAAGTAAAAATTAGATTAGAGGATCCAGCAAGTACAGTAATAGAACTACGAAAACAAATTCAACGGCTTTCTACGATCATTTTATCAGAGGATATACTGATTTCTCCTATTCATCTGTGAACAGTTTGCCAAATACTTTGGATCTGTTTTCGTTGATGAGCATGTGGGCTATGTGCCGCTTGATTCAGTTAATTGTCATTGCAATTCATTTCTTTCAGGTTTGACTATTCAGCGGGAGGATGTTTTTAGAAAATTGAAGCATCTTGATATGAGTAAGGGTGCTGGTCCTGATAAAATTCCAGCAGTATTTCTGGGTTCTTGTGCTCGCCAACTATGCGTACCGCTCTGTATACTGTTTAATAAATCCTTGGGTTCGGGTACTTTTCCATCATTATGGAAAAAGGCTTTCATAATTCCTATTTTCAAGACTGGCGACAGATCTGATTGCTCAAACTATCGACCTATAAGTATTCTTGGCTCAATTGCTAAAGTTTTTGAGTCAATCGTGTGCGATGCTATCTATTGTCACATAAAAACAATGATCTCTACCAAGCAGCACGGTTTCGTAAGTAAACGATCAACAATCAGCAATTTATTAATATATAAAAATTATTTATGTTCTGCGTTTGCAAAATGCCAGCAGGTTGACTCGGTCTATACGGATTTTTGCAAAGCGTTTGATAAGGTTAATCACACAATTCTATCTAAAAAATTATTGACCTTCGGAATCGGTGGAGATTTGTTACGATGGTTAATGTCATATCTGTCTCGAAGAAGTCAGTTGGTTGCTGTAAAGGGCTTTCTATCATCTTCTGTTATTGCAACTTCTGGAGTTCCACAGGGTTCACACTTGGGTCCGTTGCTTTTCATCATTTTCATTAATGACTTGATAGATAGATTGTCCTGTGAGTGTCTGCTCTACGCGGATGATTTGAAGATCTTCACTACTGTGGATAGCCCCAATGACTCTTACCGTCTACAAAAGGATCTAAATACTCTATCTGAATGGTGTTTGTGCAATAAAATGTCTCTAAATGTCAAAAAATGTGTACTCATTTCCTTTACACACAGGCGCAGCAGGATCCTTACTGTATACAATATCAATGACTACACACTAGAGCGAAAAAATAATATCAAAGATCTCGGTGTAATATTTGATGAACAGTTATCATTTCGTGATCACTATGCTTATATGATACAAAAGGCGGAACGAATGCTTGGTTTCATTTGTCGAACATCTAAAGCTTTTAAGAAATCTAAAAGTGTCTTACTTTTGTACTATAGCTTGGTTAGGAGCATTTTAGAGTATGGAGCTGTCATCTGGGCGCCTTTCTACTCGATTCATTCTGATCGCATTGAGAAAATTCAGAATAAATGCTTAAAAATTTTATGTTACCGTACAGGATATGGTCGGATTTTGTCATCGTATAGTGAAAGATTGTCTAGATTTAGTGTACAAAG